ATCCTTAAACAGTTCAGAGTCTCCACAATTAATAAAGATATAGCAGAATAATAAATCAGAATTTCTAAAACCTAGCTTTGTCTTCCTGCATTTGAAGCATTCCTGAGGCTGTATTAAAATGCTGCGTTTAGACCGCAAGCTGCAGAAGCAGCAGAAGCAGCAGGTTTACATGCAAAGTCAATGGTTGATGCACATCAAGGTGCATCTAAAGGTCCTGCAGCGCATCTAGAGCAGCAGGACCAGCGATTCATATGCTTCTGAGCATCTGGGGCGTGTGACGCGCTTCACAAGCTGCAGCTGCTTCAGTTAGAAAAATTTTACTTTAGCTGCTGGACGCGCCACATCAACTAATCAAAGAAGCTGATCTGGGAGCTGGCAGGGAGTCAGACACAGCACTGCTGATGCAGAGCGCTATGATCACTCCTCTGAAACAGTTTATTAACGCCTAAATTAACTGAAAATGTAGAAACCTGCCAGCAGAATATGTTCGCTTTTACTATCCTAGTGCCTGCAGTTTGGATTACATACAAAAAAAACGCTAACATCTACTTCCAGCCGCCACCAATGGGAGAAAACCCCCATGAGGAGAGCGGGACTGGGGCAGCTGCTGCTGGGGATTCCCAGTGACAGCGCAGCGCCGGTATGTGGGGGTCTGAGCGGCTCCCACAGAGAAATAATCTTTGAAGGCAGGATGGTAATCTGGATGAACTGACTGCACAGACCATGTTTTCAGGAGGACTTTCTCACTTCAAAATAGATTCAAACTACTTTTTACCTACTGATCACAGCAAATATAGCAAAGCTGCTCTCTGGCATTGAACTCAGGAGCAGCAGCAGCATCAGACGCATCTGGACACACTTTACTGGACACCTGACCCCTAATGTGGACAAGCAGCAGAAGCTTCTTTGCTGCTCATGTCGCAGTGTGAACGTAGTATTACGAAGCATGGGATTAATTTCCACTATTATGCTGACGATACCCAGCTATATCTGTCTATAAATCCAGATGAAGCTAACCCATTACATAGATTACAGGCATTTCTGAAGACATAAAAACCTGGATGACTCTTAACTTTCTCCTTCTGAATGCAGACAAAACAGAAGTTATAGTCTTTGGACCAGAGTCTTTGAAAAAGAAGCTGATTAGTCAGTCACTTCATTTGGATGGGATTAAACTGATTTCAGATAATAAAGTAAAAAATCTTGTTTTTGATTGTGTTGTTTTTGATCAGGACCTGTCATTTAAATCCCATATCAAAGAGGTTTCTAGAATTTCCTTCTTTCATCTGAGGAATATTGCAAAAATGAGAAATCTCCTGTCCAGGGGTGATGCTGAGAAACTAGTCCATGCATTTGTTACTTCAAGGCTGGACTATTATAATTCTTTACTATCAGGAAGTCCACAAACTGTAGTTAAAAGCCTTCAGCTGATCCAAAATGCTGCAGCCAGAGTTCTGATGAAAATGAAAAAGAGAGATCATATCTCTCCTATCCTGGCTTCTCTTCATTGGCTTCCTGTTAAATCAAGAATAGAATTTAAAATCCTCCTTCTCACATATAAAGCCTTAAATGGCCAAGCTCCATCTGATATCAGAGATCTGATTGTTCCTTATGTTCCTAACAGAGCACTTCGCTCTCCATCTGCAGGTTTACTAGTGGTTCCTAGAATTTCTAAAGTAGAATGGGAGGCAGACCTTTTAGTTATCAGGCTCCTCTCCTGTGGAACCAACTATCAGTTTTAGTCCGTGAGGCAGACACCCTGTCTACTTTTAAGGCTAGGCTTAAAACTTTCATTTTTGATAAAGCTTCTAGTTAGAGTGGCTCAGGTTATCCTGAGCTATCTCTATAGTTATGCTGCTATAGGCTTAGACTTCTGGATAACATAGGGACCCCCATTTCATCATTCTGCTTCATTCTATCTCTATTTTTCCACTCTGCAGAATCTGTTAGTTCAATCTCTAACGTTCTGCTCTCTCTGCTTTTTCTCATAGTAGCTTCATCTGGTCTGTTCCTGTTTGGCTGTGACTCCATCCTGGAGAGAAATATAAGCTGTGCTGCTGCCATCAACACCTTTGTTTCCAGATGTTGAAGCTTGGTCTGTTTTCCAGTGTAGTCCTGTTTCTCTGACTGTGACTAACTGGATGTGCTCTCTTCATCCTCTGACATGGGAGCTGGCTCGGAGCTCGTCTGCCTGGCTGTGTGTTTTCTGGACGGGGCCGCCTGTGGAGCTGGTTTACAGATGCCTTTTGTATCTATGCTTCTTTTTCTATGTCTGCTTCTGTCTTCTTGAACCCCAGTCAGTCTCAGCAGATGGCCGCTCACACTGATCCTGGTTCTGCTGGAGGTTTCTTCCTGTTCAAAGGGAGTTTTTCCTCTCCACTGTTGCTACAAGCATGCTTAGTGTGAGGGATTGCTGAAGAGTCAATGAGTCGATGCAATCAGCTGGTTTTCCTTAGATAGAAAACTTTCAATCAATCTGACTGGATGATCTGGTGAACTGGAAAGTGCCTTGAGATGACAGGTGTTGTGAATGGGTGGTATAGAAATAGACTAAATAGAATTAAATCATATAATTTATTAATAATGGATTAGCACTTCATTGACTATTAAAATACATGAAAGTTTGACAGTGAGGGTGATGATCAGCTGCAGAACAGGGACATGTTGAAGACCTTTTAGGGTCAGCGTCATCAGAATCTGGATCCGAGCTTAAAGTCAACGAATTATCTCAATTCATCAGCAAATTGAAGTTACAGCGCCACCTACCAGCAACAGATCCATTAGAATCTGAATACATTTGTTAATAAATATATTTAGTTTCATTACCTTATTTATTAAACTGGCATATTTACACTTTCTTTAAGTCGAACATTAAATAATGAGGTTTTAAGGCGTCTACCCAACTCTGTTTTCAGTTTGAATCATTTCCAAAAAGAATTGCCGTCTGAATAGTTGCTAGCTTTAAGCATTCTTTTACCTTCATATAAGAAAATCAACGGTTAATATTTTAGGATAAATATTCAGATTCTTATCTATTCTGTTAAGGAGCAGCACAGAATTAATTATAAAGAGGCAGCTTTTCTGTTTCAGTTCAGGAGTTGCTTGTTCTTCTGAATGGAAGCTCAGCTGAGATGATTGATCCCCTGAAGAGTCATGTGATCAATTTTCCAGAGACGCATCCTGGAAAATAAAAACAAAGCTAATCTTTTACACTCCGTCTTACAGGTTGTCTAACTCTTCTGTTTTATGACATGCATGAGGACTTTCTCCAGCAGCGCATATTGATCTGACCTCTTCTGCTGCTCAGTAAATATTGATCACATCGACTCTCCTTTTTTTATCCTCCATAATGAGGCAGACGCTGCGCTGGCAGCTCTGACACTCTAACATTTAAATGACCTTAAAGGTCACATGCAGTTTGCATTCCTCTTTCTATTTAAGCTTCATGCAGTTTTTGTTCTTCTTATACTAAAGCATAGCTTGACTTTTAATTTCATGCTGTCATCATTATACCAGGAGACTTTTGATTTATTTTTGTTTGAAATAAGTTATTTCTTTAATTTAGGTATTCATGCGTAGTTCTTTGTTATCTCTGTGAATGCATGAGTTCTTTCTGGGTACTCTGCTTTCTCCAGTCCAGAGACATGACTATCAGGTCCAACAGTGTCTCTAAATAGACCTCGGTGTGACTCCAGGTGTTCCCTGCCTTTTCCAAACACTGATGGAGACACCGGCCCCTGGAACCCTGAGGGACGGATCGTTTTTTTTAAGTCTTTCTCCTGCCTACTTTGCTGATCAGACTTACTTCATCTGGAGGTCATTCTTCATATCTCAACAGCTTTGAAGCACCTGAGGTTTTTTTTTCTCTGGATCCTGTGTTGTTGCTGTTACCATGGTTACCACGTCAGTCCATCACTTCTTTCATTGAACCACGGCTCCATCATTTTGGCCCGATTTTAAAAAATAACATATAACAGGGTTGGATTTTACACTCCTGTAGAGTTTATTAAGAGAGTGTGTATTTAATTGTGAATGAGAAGATAAAATAAAACACTAACCACATATAGTTACACCTCCATGATGTCAGTTATGAATTCTCCTGAATCCATTGTTTACTAAAAAACAGACAAACATGATCTGTGTAATCTTTATATATAAAACAAGCTACAGTTACTTTAACAGCTAATATTAATTGTCAACATTATAATATTGATCATCTGAATATTAATCAGCAAAAAGCTAAATTGAAAAAGAAAGAACTAACTGCCAAATATTTCAGGTTAAACTAAAGGGCTAACCAATTAATTATAGTGAGGTCTGACTTTATGAGGGTCTATAAAGATAAAAATATAGAACGTAAGCAGATCAGATGGAAAACCAAATAAAGATGTTTTCTGGTGAAGATTCTCAATCATCCAGGTCAGAGTCATTCCAAAAAATTAAAATCAATCTACTGGACTTTGTTTCCAAGTTTTAAGACGTTTTGCTTCCCATCCAGGAAGCTTTTTCAATTCAACATTTTTTTTTTTACTTTTTTGGGATGTTTCAGTTTTAAAAAAACAAAAAATCATGCAAATATATTTAAACACAAACCAAAAAATAAGAAGACAGAAATTATTTAGGGTTTAAAATCAATGTTTTAGATTTCTTACCTTAAGGGAAACATTAATTGTTTAACAACTGGTTTTCTCTGAAACCTTTTTGGTTCGATGGATAAAATAAACTTTATGATGAAACTTGAAGGTAGAGTGTGTAATAACTACAGGGATTTAGGGACATAAATATATCGTATGTTATTTATTATCAGCTACAAACTGAAAGTCTCAATCTCGATGTTTGCCTTGCCTTAGAAATGGCTGCTTATGTCGCTGCAGTCTGACCACTAGATGTAGCTGAAAATCACCCATTGTAGCTGTAAGACAGAAGTTCTTTGTTTTCATACAGCTCTGTCCTTCCCAGTTAAAGTTATTCAGCAGAAAAAATAGCAAACCACAGAGGTGTGAAATCTTCTTTTATTATAAATAGATCATTTGTATAAAACTGACATGCTTGAAAAATCAATGAGCCACTGATCTGAGTACGGGTTGGGATCACCAGAACTTTCGTTCACAACAAAGTTACTTCTCTTTTTTAAAATACTACAACAATACGGTCAGTTCAAGTTCAGTTTTTGTTTCCTGAATAGTTTCTGATGTGATTGTCTGACGTGCAGCAATGCGGGCAGCTCCCTGCTTCCTCTAAGACCACAAACTCTGCAGCTCCCTGATGCTTCGGCTCCTTCTTCCTGTTTTAGGTTTGGCTGCAGGTCTGTTCTTCAGAGTCCCCGGTTCATAGCTGCTGTTTGCTCAGATGCTGTGGTTTGTGTAGCTGACATAGGTGGTCTTTATAGGTGGCACTAAGGGAAACAAAGACAACAGCACATTGATAAAAGGAATACACTGATGGGATTTTTAAATAGATTCTATACTGAGCTGATCACCACATCAACAATGATTTGTTAATAACATGAAAACCCCAGCTGAAAAAAAAAATCATATCCATCCACCATAGCATTGGTTATTGGCTGCAGAAACTGAAGTTCCAGGGGCCGCCGCGGGGACTGAATCCAATCGTTCTTCTAAGAATGATCCACAGCCTCCCTAATATGACCTGCACTGCATTATTTGGTTCCTTTCCTTGCTGCAGTCAGTGTGACCTCAGCATGAGCCCTGTGCAGCTGCACTGTAGGCAGAGCAAAGTCCTGAGACCAAGGAGGCAGGGTAGGAGATGTAGAGCTCCGCTGCTTCCCCAGGCAGCACAGAGAGAAGGTATCAGAGAGCTTTCCTGCTGTGTTTGAGCTGAGGGTGCTCGACATAATTCCATATTTTTGTAGAAAAGAATTGGATGAAGATCTGGACATAATACCAATGTGGGTTCAGTTAGAAACATGTTATTGTTGCTGTAGTTATGACCTAAGCAACACCGACAGACTGGCTGCTGATGAGAACCACCAACATGCTGCATCCATCAAACTCCAACTCACTTTTATTCCCCTTCAGTTTTCCAGCTAAACTACCCGCAAACATCAGCGAAAGCAAACAATGCTTGTTGTGTGGTCATCAGATTAGCTACAGATGTCACATGTTCTACCATTTATTGTTTATTATACTCTTTAGTCAGAGGGGAAAAAAAACTGATGTAAAAAATCTTTTTGTTTTAGACAGAATTTATTTGTTGGCATTTAAACATCAGATCCAGAACAGCTTTCTGTTAAATGTTCACATTCTGATCATCCGAGGTTAGAAAGTCTTATAGAGTAGAAATATGGAGAAAATAGATCATAGAGTCGTTTTTATTTTGAATGTTTTAAGATAGACCTTTAACTGACTAAAACCTATTAGCTTCTTCTTTCAGCTTAAATCAGACTTTGAACTGTTATCTTAAGCTGCCATCATTGGGCCGTGGCAGCGTTTAGTTATGAAGGCATTCAACCATACGCACACCTGAAGAACAAGGGACCATGTCAGCCAGGTGAGTAACTTCAGCCCCATTAATAAACTGCAGGATGAAAGAAACCTGGAGTCCAGGTGAATAAAGTCCATCAGATGGAAACATCTCAGCCGCTCCTGCTTTTCTGCCCACAGATTCAGCAGATCTGAGCTGCAGACAGTTTAGTTTAATCAGATCTGGCCTCAGGTGACATCTAGATAAACCTGAAAACTTCCTGTCAAATCCTCCTCAGTATCTCTGTAAACTTTCACACACACTTCTCATTTTTTTTCTTCTCCTAAAGTAAATCATGCATAAAATTCACAACTATAAGTGCACTGAAATAATGCTGGACAGTTGTTTTGCTTAAGACATGATTTAAACTGATTTCTTATAATCTGATTTGTGATTCTAGCTGAGCAATGATGAGAATGCATGTGTCATCTGGTCATCAAGCTCCTGGATTTTACAGCTGAGTGCAAAGAGCCAACAGACCTTTTCCCTCTTATTTCATCTATTCCTTGACTCTTCTGCTGCCACTCAGATACAAGCTTCTCCACCTGCTTGAAGCAATAATGATTTTATAGATTCTTTATAAATAAAAGTGTTTCTATTCAAAATAAGCTCATTGGTACCCATCTAAACGTAACTGGTTCGTCTCTGGAAGGTGAGGCAGTATCTGAGGAACTATATGAACTGAACTGTGCTGCCACACTCACATAGAGCCATAGCTAGGTTGAACCATCCATCCCACCGTCTATTAGCAGTGATGGTTTTATGGGCTGCTTTTTAAATAAGATTGATTTTGTTAAAATGATCATTGCTGCAGAGAAAACAGAAGTTCTAGATTTTTTTTCAGGTGGACTTTCTCACTTAAAAATAGATAAAAAAAAATGTTTCCCGACTGATCACAGCAAATATAGCTGCCATTGTTGCAGGCAAAGAAAGGATATGGTAGCTGCGCCCAACTTGCATCAGACCTACTTTCCACCGCGCAACTAGAGAAGCAAAGATGCTTCAGCCGCGCGTCAGATCTAAACTTGTACAAGCATCAAAAATGAAGCAGCACGCGCATTTTTGCTGCTCCTGCTGCTTATGGTCTGAACGTAGCATTATAGTTAGAGTGGCTCAGGTTATCCTGAGCTATCTCTATAGTTATGCTGCTATAGGCTTAGACTGCTGGAGGACATAGGGACCCCTTTTCATCATTCTGCTTTATTCTATCTCTATTCTCCCATTCTGCAGTACTTATTAGTTGAATCGTTCTGCTCTCTCTGCTTTTTCTCATAGTAGCTTCATCTGGTCTGTTCCTGTTTGGCTGTGACTCCATCCTGGAGAGAAATATCAGCTGCTTATGGCATTATGAGGCAATTATGTAGGTTCTCTGTGTAATTTTCTTTTTTATATCAGATTAATTAATTAATTTATCATATCGTATTGATTTAAATCTACTTTGACCCCTGAGCAGCAGTAACTGAGGGTTAAATTCTAAGAAATAAAGCCAAAATTGCCAAAGTAGAAAGAAGAATGTTCTTATTCTTTGCTTTCTGCGTAGCAATGCAGATTTTATTGATCTGTGTGTAATGCAGAATTCATTTAGCCTTGAGATGGAAACCTTGTTGTTGGGAGCTGGAGAAGTTCCACCTTTCTCCAGCAGAGTCCGCCGTGAATCCTCTGAGGGAGCTTCCTGCACAGCTGCAGCTCGTCTAGATCATCAGAGGATCCACTACTTAAGCTGTCTTCAGACCTTGCCTCAACGCCGCAGTGTTGTTCCAGTTGGTCAGCGCTTAAGCCTAGATCCTCAGAGTAAATCTATGACTTTCGAATCCAGCTTGGATTCTAACCCCTGTGTCTGTTTTCCAGGAAACCCGTGCCTCCTCTGTGAAAGCTCTGGAAGAGCTAACCTGCTGAGCCGACCCTCTGAGTCAAACCTGAAGATTCACAGAGAACCTCCAAGCAGCTCTGGACTAGAGCTGGGAAACCCAAAGCCAAGGTCTGTTCTAAGTAGACGTGAGACGCTGAAGCAGCTACGGACTCTGCTGATGAACTCTACTCCAGAACCAACAGTGACTCTCCCAAAGCTAACCTCAAGAATCCTCAAGGTACAATCAGTAGACTTCTGGAAATCAAACCTCTGTTGGCAACGCTAACTGAACTGTCTCTCACGCAGACTCCGGTGAACCAGAATCCAGGCCCCGAACCTGAACCTGAATATTCAGTGTGCTTGTGCAAAATAAAACTGTTAAACTTTTATCCTTGTGTCCGTCAGTGGTGTTCTGCATTCCTGGGTCGCTTTCAGTGAACCCATCATGACAGAACACTGCGGCCAAACTCAAGGCCCAGCAGATCACTTCATCCGTCGTCTAGAGGAACAGGCTGCTCAGATTCATGGACACGGCCTGGCTCTACGTGAGTTAAACACCCACATTGAAAGACAGAATCAAGCCATTCAAGGCTATGCTAATTACATGAACAGCGCTAATGCTGCGTCGGTTCAACAACCATTTCCGGGTCCTGTCCCTCCTCCGAGGTCACCAGCAGTGACGTCATCTGAGTTCCGTCCTAGTCTCCCAGAAAGATTTTCTGGCAACATGAAAGATTGCAAGGGATTTTTATTTCAATGTCGGTTAATTTTTCAGAACTCCCCCTGGCTGTTTTTCCACGGATCTCAAGAAGATAACTTTTATTCTCTCTCAGTTAACAGGAAGAGCCTTGGAATGGGCTCAGGCAAGATTTGCCGCTGACGACAGTTTAAATTGCTACTACTCTGACTTCATTTCTGAATTTACCCAGGTATTCAACCAAGAAACTGACCAAACTATTGATTCTAGAGCTCTTTTCAATCTTAAACAGGGAAACTCTTCTGTGGCTGAATTTTCTATTAACTTCCGGGTTAAAGCGGCAGCTTCCGGATGGAACCAAAGTGCTTTGAAAGGAGCCTTTTTCATGGCATTAAACGAGCAGATTAAGGATGAACTCGCAACCCTCGACGAACCTGCTACCCTCGAAGATTTAATTCGCCTCTCCATCAGATTAGATAATAGAATACGAGCCAGAAACAGTTCTAAGAAGCAGAGTACACTTATTTCTGCCTCACATAACGTGACTGTTTGTTCTCCCTCTACAGAGCAGCTGCCCGTACAGAGGCCTAAGCCCCAGTCTATACCGTTGCCCGTTCAAGCCTCTCATTCGGGCGAAAGAGATGTCGAACCCATGCAGGTGGGACACACCAGGCTCACTCCAGAGGAGAGACAAAGACGTTTGTTAAGCAAGCTATGTATCTACTGTGGTGAGAGTGGACACTTCATTGCTGCCTGCCCGGCTAAATCAAAAGCCAGGGCCCGGCAGAGGATCTGAGGAGTCTGGCGGGCCAAATAAACACTAAGAAATCTCCTCGACTGTTGCTGCCTGCCACACTTTTTTGTGCTAACCAGAGCCTTTCTTTCTCTGCATTCATCGACTCAGGCTGTGAATGTAACCTAATCGATTCTAACCTCGTCCAGCAACTCCAAATTGAAACTATTCCTCTGACTCAGCCTCTCAGTGTATCCGCTATTGATGGAAGAAGACTCCATCAAGTTACCCATCAAACTCAGCCCCTCGAGCTACTTCTGTCAGGTAACCACCGAGAGACGATAACATTTTTTGTTTTTCCCTCTGCATGTTCCCCGCTGGTGCTTGGGTTCGAATGGTTGGAGAAGCATAATCCTCACATTAACTGGACCAAGCGTCACCTGGAATCATGGTCCATCTCATGCCACGAAACATGCCTTCGTTCTGCTGCCCCCTTGGTGGGGTCTCCCAGAGGTGGGGGGGAGATGGACTCTCCTGACCTTTCTTCAGTTCCCTCTGAGTACCATGATCTTGCCCCTGTCTTCAGTAAGGTCAGTGCGACGTCCCTACCTCCACACAGACCATACGATTGTGCCATTGAACTTCTACCTGGTGCTCCCTATCATCTCCTTAGGATCCGTGAAGGCGACGAGTGGAAAACTGCCTTCAAAACACCCTTGGGCCAATTCGAATACCTGGTTATGCCCTTTGCTCTAACCAACGCTCCAGCTTGCTTCCAGGCCCACGTTAACGATGTTCTAAGAGACTTTCTCAACGTATTTGTTTTTGTGTACATTGATGACATTCTCATTTACTCCAAGGACCTCGATGAACATAAAAGACATGTCCGTCTTGTTCTACAGAGACTGCTGGAGAATAAACTGTTCGTGAAAGCCGAAAAGTGCGAATTTCATCAACCATCAGTCACCTTTTTGGGGTTTGTGCTCGAGGGCGGCCAGGTTAAACCATCTGAGGACAAGATCAAGGCAGTTTTAGACTGGCCAGTTCCAGAGAGCCGCAAACAACTTCAAAGGTTTTTGGGTTTTGCTAACTTCTATCGTCGGTTTATCAGAAACTACAGCCAGACCGCCCTTCCTTTAACTTCTCTGACCTCTGTAAAACGCATTTTTCAGTGGACTCCCGAGGTTCAAGCAGCATTTGAAAAATTTAAGTCATTGTTTTCCAGAGCACCAGTCCTCATGCAACCTGATCCAGCTAAGCAATTCATCCTAGAGGTGGATGCTTCAGATTCCGGTGTTGGAGCAGTCCTTTCCCAGAGACTTGAATCTGATCAGAAGATACACCCCTGTGCTTTCTTCTCCCGTAGGCTTTCTTCCGCTGAGCAGAACTATGATGTGGGTGACCGAGAACTCCTGGCCATTAAACTGGCACTGGAGGAATGGAGGCATTGGCTGGAGGGAGCTGAGCACCCGGTTCTTGTTTGGACTGACCACAAGAACCTGGCTTACATCCAGTCAACAAAACAAGCTAATCCTCGCCAATCCAGGTGGTCAATCTTCTTTCTCGGTTCAATCTAATCATCTCCAACAGACCCGGATCCAAGAACGTGAAGCCCGATTCTCTCTCTCGTCTCTACTCCGTCGATCATCCCGAGACTCCTGAACCTGTCCTTCCGGCTTCATGTACAGTGGGAATGGTCAACTGGGAGATAACTGACCTCATCAACTCAGCCCTGGCCACTGAACCCGATCCAGGTAACGGTCCATCTAATCGTACATATGTTCCATCTTCTGTCACGTCCCGTCTCATCCAGTGGATGCATGCCGCCAAATTCTCAGCTAATCCAGGAGTAAGTAGAACAGTAGCTCTCATCTCCAGACGCTTCTGGTGGCCCACTCTCCACAGGGACGTAAAGGAGTATGTGTTGGCTTGTCCCACATGTGCCCGTAACAAAGCCTCACATCAACCTCCCTCTGGCCTGCTTCAACCACTTCCTGTTCCCTCGCGTCCCTGGTCCCATATCGCCATTGATTTCGTCACCGGTCTCCCTGTCTCCCGAGGTATGTCCACCATATTCACTATTGTTGACCGCTTCTCGAAGTCCTGCCATCTTATTCCCCTCAGAAAACTTCCCATGGCCTTCCAGACCACGCAGCTTCTCATCAAGCATGTATTTCGGTTACACGGCATTCCCCAAGAGATCCTCTCGGACAGAGGCCCGCAGTTCATCTCCCAGGTCTGGAAGGCTTTCTGTTCTGCTCTCGGCTGCAAACCCTCTCTCACCTCTGGTTACCACCCCCAATCGAATGGTCAGACTGAACGCATGAATCAGCAATTGGAATCCACCCTTCGCTGCCTCACGTCCAACAACCCTGTGGATTGGAGCCAATTTCTGCCATGGATAGAATACGCCCATAACTCCCTCAGATCTGCATCCACTGGAAAATCCCCATTTCAGGTCAGTCTCGGCTATCAACCACCTCTTTTTCCCGCAGACGAGAGAGAGATTTCGGTGCAGTCCGTCAACCATCACATCCGTCGTTGCCAAAGGATCTGGAGGGAAACCATCGCCACTCTCAACCAGTCTTCAGAAGCGACTAAGCGCTTCGCCGACGCCCGGAGACGTCCCGCCCCCGAGTACACCGAAGGCCAGGAGGTATGGCTGTCCACTCGAGACAGCCATACCTCCCCCTCAAGGGGATGTCTCGAAAACTCTCCCCTAGATTCATCGGACCCTACAGGATCACTCGAGTCATCAACCCCTCAGCCGTCCGTCTCCAGTTACCGCAGTCCCTCCGGATCCACCCCACCTTCCACGTGTCCCAGATCAAGCCTGTCTCCTCGAGCCCTCTGTGCCCTCCGTCCGACTCCCCACCACCCGCCCTGGAGGTCGATGGACATCCGGCCTTCGCGGTTCGCCGCATCGTGGACTCCCGTTGACGAGGTCGCGGATGGCAGTACCTCGTCGACTGGGAGGGCTACGGACCGGAGGATCGCCAGTGGGTTCCGGGCTCGTACATCCTCGATCCAGCCCTTATCGAGGAGTACGAGCGCTCCTGCCCATCAACCTCTTGCGGACCGCCAAGGGGCGGTCGTTGAGGGGGGGGGGGGTACTGTTGGGAGCTGGAGAAGTTCCCCCTTTCTCCAGCAGAGTCCGCCGTGGATCCTCTGAGGGAGCCTCCTGCACAGCTGCAGCCTGTCTAGATCATCAGAGGATCCACTACTTAAGCTGTCTTCAGACCTTGCCTCAACGCCGCAGTGTTGTTCCAGTTGGTCAGCGCTTAAGCCTAGATCCTCAGAGTAAATCTATGACTTTCCAATCCAGCTTGGATTCTAACCCCTGTGTCTGTTTTCCAGGAAACCCGTGCCTCCTCTGTGAAAGCTCTGGAAGAGCTAACCTGCCGAGCCGACCCTCTGAGCCAAGCCTGAAGATTCACAGAGAACCTCCAAGCAGCTCTGGACTAGAGCTGGGAAACCCAAAGCCAAGGTCTGTTCTAAGTAGACGTGAGACGCTGAAGCAGCTACGGACTCTGCTGATGAACTCTACTCCAGAACCAACAGTGACTCTCCCAAAGCTAACCTCAAGAACCCTCAAGGTACAATCAGTAGACTTCTGGAAATCAAACCTCTGTTGGCAACGCTAACTGAACTGTCTCTCACGCAGACTCCGGTGAACCAGAATCCAGGCCCCGAACCTGAACCTGAATATTCAGTGTGCTTGTGCAAAATAAAACTGTTAAACTTTTATCCTTGTGTCCGTCAGTGGTGTTCTGCATTTCTGGGTCGCTTTCAGTGAACCCATCATGACACTTGTATGTCTAAAGCCATTACTTTATTGGACATTTTGTCAGCTTTTCTGACTGCTATATCAACCAATATGATGTGTTGAACTAGATCTGCTATTTTCACAGTTTTTGTGTAACACTTTTTTATAAAGTAGGGCATTAATTCATTCATATCTTTTATGCCCAACAGTAATGATGAACTGCACAGCAGCATTCTATACCCAGCTATTGTAGCATCTAGGATAGAGCTGTCAGTCTGGGAAAAAATTTGGTTTTTATTCCAAATAATAAAGATTCACTGTTTTATGAAGTGCAACATAAAACTGACTAAAACTTCAACCGAGATCTGGGGTTTATACAGATACCTGGGGACGTCCAGAACCATTTGGTCAGCAGACCGGAGAGCTCTGCTGGGCCGATATCAACATCTCAGTTAAATTTAGTGGAGAGAGAGAGTGTTAAAACTTTAAAATCAATCTTAAAATGGGCCCGGCCACTGCAGGGAGGAGAGGATGGGAGTGATGTGGCTAAACTAATATTTTTAGTCCTGAAGATTAAGACAAAATCTAAGATGGCTGCCAGAAACATACCGAATGTGAGCTTAGTCCGAAAATGGAAGGTACTACATTATAAAAACAGGCCGAAGGGATTTGACAATGACTCACCGCTGGTCTGCACGCCCTCACACAACTCTGTCTTCACTTGGCCGTTGGGCCGCTCTGCTGCCAGCTGCGACAGCTTAGTGGTCACGGTGGCGGCGGTGACGATGGCCTTAAAGCTGCGCTTGCGTTTGGGGACATTCTGCTCAGGGTGGAAGATAATGATGTAGACCTTGGGCACGTAGAGCATCCCCAGGGAGACCGACGCACTGAGGCTCAGGGAGATGGTCAGTGTGGCCGTCTGGATATACATCTGTGGAGAAACCAGGAAATAGGATGTAAGCTCTGCCTCTGGTAAATTAATCAGACTGGATGATGCTTTGTAGAATGTAAATATCTGTCAGGCTTGCCAAATATAGAAGCAATTGTACTGCCTTATGTAGTCCTATTTGTGACCTTATGCTCACTTGGCAACACAGAGAATGCAGCATGTAAACAGGGTGTCTACATACTGGAAGTCACATACAAACTTGGCAAAAACAGGGTTCTTAGTGGCTAACTCGCCTGCAATCAGGTCACAGCTAAGAGATTTCCAGAAAGTTTTCGACAGAGCTTCCAGTCGTGCACGTACATCTACATAGTGCAATGTGGAAACTACAAAAGCAGCCTGAGATGAAATGTGAGCTGGGGAAAAAGGGAAAAATTAAAAGAT